CTCCGCTCCGCCCCGCTCCGGCCCCGGGGGGCGTCCCTGCAGCCAGGCCGCTGCTTGGCGGTGACGCCCGAGGAGTGCCGTGAAAGTGTCCGATCAGGTCGGGCGCTGCCCGCTCGTCCCTGTAAGCATGAACGGGAAGGAGCCCCCTGACTGTAGAGTTAATTAGCTGAAGCGTGGAATAAAACCGCGGATCCTCCGCGTTGACGCGACGATGCGTCCCCCTAGCTGCCGCTCGCGAGCACAGGGTACCACACAAACGCTAAAGCAGTCGTAGGTATCCAGCTCCAGTGGACTGGTGCTTTTTTCCTAAGTCCTTCCGACGGGCGGCATCTTCGGGCGCTTTGGAAACGGCCTTGCGCCTTCAGCCCTGTTTGCAAAGGCACCGGCGGTGCGCTCGTTTTGGTGCTGGGAGAAGGGGGTTTCTGCCTTTGCCCGCAGACGCTGGGAGAAGGTTTCAAATCTGAGACCCTTTGGAGTTACGCAGTGATGTTTTAGTATAAACAATTGTGTCAGGTCTAAAAGAGAAGAATAATCTTTCAAAAACTCGGCATGAAAAACAGGACTGAATACTCTGGAAAAAAATACACTTCTGGTAATTGAGAGAAAAGCACTTTTGCAGCGCAGCACTCTCACTGCGGTACTTAAGTAACTTCCACAGGTACGTTTAAAACCAACCCCTGAGCGAGGGAATTTACGGTACATCGCTGCGCAGAGCTCTTCGGTGCCCAACACGGCCTTTAAGACAGAACTACGGTTCAGCTTCTGGGGGTCGAATTTCGGCTGGGCCTGCGCTGGGCCGCAGCGACGCCCAGGCGCCGCGGGAGGGAGCCGAGAGCGGCGCCTCTGCCCCAGCACCGGCGGCTCCCCAGCGCGCGGCCGTTACGGATCCGTCCCCAAGCCAAACGGCGAACTCCATCACGACTCGCCGTCTCCCTCCGCCGCGCTGTATAGACCCAGCACCGAGGCAGGAGGGCTGGCGCGGAGGAATCTCCTCGCGGCAGGCGTTGGAACCGCTTGCTCTGCCTTGTGAGGGGGCAACCGCCGGCTTGTGCTGTCGCTGTGGCAGCTCCGCTCGCCCCGCGTTGCGAGGCATAGCACCAGCCAGGTCGGTGAGGCTCTTTGCCTGCATGTCTCTGCCAAAGCGCCGACTGAGGCACCTCAGCTTTCCAGAAGAGAGCCAGAAGTCGTTATCCCTCATGCTTTATGCTTGGGAATTCTCCACTTTTCCTTCCTTCCCTCCTTCCCCTCATCCTCCTACCTTTTAAGGCACGTGCAGACTCACTTTTCTTGCATGAACAGGTCCTGTAGGCAAGGTTTAGAGCACCCTGGAGGGGAGGAAAGAAAGTTTTAATATAAAAGCACATCAGCTGTTACAACTAGGATAGGTAGGCAGCTGGAGGTCGTGCTGTTTTTTGAAAAGTGTGAAAATCTCAGCTGAGCCACCAGACGTCTTGAGTATAGCTGTTTGGAGTCAGGGAGGATGCCAGTATACAATGTAGTCTTTGTTTTTAAGGAAAGCTGTGAGAACACCACCTCTCTCATCTTGAGCTTTAGGGAAAGGTATCAATTTCGCTGTCTAACTGCAAGAGAACCAGTTAAAAGGCAAGGAAATTAACATCCAACCTATTCCACCTGAAGGTCAAGTAGGAAAGCACCACTGCTAACCTTATAGATGACCAGCCCAGTCAGACAAACATGAAGGAAAAGGAAGGAATTAATTAATTTAGATTTTACATTTTTCTTTTTTTTTTTTGTGACTTTCCTAAGCTGTTTTTTCTTAGTATTTTTACTTTGAGAAAGAGACGAACATTTTCTATAACAGGTGATCGCATGCCAAAGTCCATAGAACAGTGGCCACTTTGCTAATCATGGGCAAAAATAAGGAGCTAGTAATGTAGCACCAGGTGTTGCCTTCCATGTCAGCCTTGCTTCTGATTTTCTATTTCCTGAATCAGGCAATATTGTCTAAGAGAGTATATAACACAGTTACACATGTGGTTGGCTGCCCTAAGGCTTTGTAAAAACTACTGCATAATCTTTGTAGTTGTTTTAATTCTTATAGTAATAGTACTCTGAATTCAGTAACAATTTCTGTGCTTTTATTTTTATCTGTTATCCTGGGTATGACCTTAATGACCTACCTTAACATTTGTTTTATAAAATATTTCTGCATTATAACATCCCTGTGAAACTGAACAAGCTGTTTTTAGAGGAAAAATTAGACACAAGATAAGGACTTGAGGTATAGCTCTACTGATGATTACAGTGCCTTAAAACTAGTTGCTCAATCCATGTGTAGATTTGAGGACACTGAATAAAATGTTTAATTTTATATATATATTTATGAGTGTTAAGATCTACCAAATGGGATTGATGGCAGCCAGCACGTGCAAGTGGATGAAGTGGATGAGTATGCCCCATAACAGGAAAACATGGAGTGAGAGGATTTAGATGCTTCTTTGTAGTCCTGAATTATGGGCTTGGGATTCACAAACCAAACCTTTCCTAGGCTTATGTGCTAGTGGAGTAGAAAGGGGAAGAAAATGGAAGGAGCCACCTTTGCATACCAGCCTACTGCTTAGCAGTCAGCCATAAATATACTTTGTTTTGGGCCATTTTAGAAATCCTCATCTAGGATGATTAACGTACTAGTCCTTGGCCACCAGGAGAGGGACTGAGAAATTCCTTTCTCCTGTTGAAGAACGGTATCCGTTCCCTATGAACTGCAGCGTTCCAGGGTTTAGGCACAGAATTAAGAGAAAGTCTGACTCCTTCATCATGCTGAAGATACCTGATGCTAAATTAATTTTTTTCCACTGAAAAAATACTGCCCAACACCCTCCATCTTGCATTACTTCTGCAAACACACATGTTAAGAATATCATGCATGGCAGGGCATTTGTATAAAAATCATGTGTAAGTGCTTATGTGAGCAATGCTTTAAGACCTGGTATGGAAGTGTATACAAGGCTTTTGGTAAGGTCAGTTGCTGAGTATATGTGTATATTTTGCAAACTAAAATTTAAACAAATTATATTCTAGACCATTTCTATTTCTCAGTAATCAGATATTCAGTTAAAGTATTAATATTTTTAAAAAAATGTTTTATATAGAAAGATGTGCAGTCCACAAAATATAAATGTATGATAAATTATTTTAAAAAAATCTTTCTGTAGTCATCTTCAGCTTGACATTTGTAACCTATCATAAAATGTATATACATATGTCTGTTATCTTAAGAACTTGAAGAGGACTTGATGAGACTATTAAATTTATATACATGGGAAGTCACTTTTGCGATGCTCTCATTTTTTGTGTTTTTATTCCCTACCTTGCTCTTCCTTCTGGTCTTCTTGAAAAGGTAGACTTGAAAAATCTGGATTGTTAATAAACACAGGTTTTTTTTCAGATTTCAGAATGGATGGGGTACGAAAGAATAATAAAGAAAGCTCAAACACTGGAGAAGACGCTGGGCCCGGTCTTGCTGCCACAAATAGTGCTGGGCCTAATCTCACTGCAGAGAGTTCCGTGCCTGCTCCTGTTACACCGGAAGATATTGTAGCCAGATCTATTCGCCATACTCGACAAATAGCAAGCTTTTCCTCTTCCCAAGAGTCTTTTTCTGTTGCAAGCCGAAGGTTGTCTAGGTTTTGCCGGGGCACTAGTGGAGTTTTGTCCTTGC